TGATGGGAGTCCAGAAATCCCACCCAGTAGAGCCAGGTGTGTGTGTGTGTGTGTGTGTGTGTGTGTGTGTGTGTGTGTGTGTGTGTGTTGGAGCGGGGGGAGGCAAGGGGCCCTCCGGAGATCCACAGCCCCCTTGAGCTCCTGTACAGAATAGACCCCTTTGCCGTCCCCGATTTAATGGCCGTCCCCGCTGGACGTTTGAAGCCAGCTCTGTTGCGGGGATGCAGACCCCCTTTGTGGTTCTCCCGCCCCCCCCCCTCAAGTCCAGCTTGGTCCCCTGCCAATAAACCATAGACTGCTGCAACATCCCCGAGTCGATATCCTCCTTCTGCAGAACCAACAAATCGCAACGCCGTTTTGCTTCCCTGCTGCTGTTCACGCTGCGCTTTTGATGAGTCCGCTTTTGGGTCGCCGTGCGTTTTATTGGTTATCTGCCTGCTGCAAATAGGCAAATAGGATGCCAGCTTCGGATATCGCATGACTTCCAAGCCATCCTGGCTTGGATGAATAGAGGCACACACACACACACACCCCCAAGTGTAATGGGTGTGTGAGCAGAGAACCTTGATGGAGAAGAAGAGATTCAACAGAATAAGAGAGTTGGAAGGGACCTTGGAAGTCTTCTAGTCCAACCCCCTGCTCAAGCAGGAGAGCTCTATACCACTTCAGACGAACGGCCCTCTGATCTCTTCTTGAAAGCCTGCAGTGATGGGGCAACTGCAACATCCTGGCGGTAACCCCTACTCAGGCAGGATCTGGCCATACACAACTTAGCCACATCCTGGACACTGCTCTTGGGTGCATTAATGTATACACACATGCACACTGACATGTATCTTTCAGAGGAGAAGGTACGTACGGGAAACGAAAAGCTGAGCATACTGTTTACTGAGGTTCAGTGGTAGGTAATGAGAAGCGTAAAACCGGGGCATTGGTGTCCTTCGGTGCTTCGGGGTGAAGCTATTGAAGAGTTCGGCTGGACAATTTCTCACTGCCAGCCTTGCTTTGCCAGCTTCCTGGGCAGTCCCTAAGCATCTGACAGAAGGAGTCCCCTTCCCCATCGCTTGTTCTTGTTTGAGGACTCCGTTCCAGAGGGTGGGAAATGGTCAGTCTGAGCAACCTATGACCATCATCATTCCGGCACGTAGAGATTGCTGGTGGAGTTTGGATTATTCACCGGTCGCGTCTCTAACACAATGGTGCTGGCAAGGAAGAAAGAAGAGAAAGACGAGAATTAGGTATTCAGTGGCATTCAGCCGGTTCGGACCGGTTCACCTGAACCGGTAGTGGAAATTGCGGGTGGGCCGCCCACCCGCCCCGGCTGTCCTAATCAGGCACGTTTTCAAGCCGCGTGCATGCGTGCAAGCAGCGTGCGCGATCAAAGCGCATGCACGGAAGACTGAGCACATTTCTTAACCAGTAGGGAAAGTAAGTGAACACCACCCCTGAATGGGCATCCTGAAGGAGGATGTTCTGTGGTGGTGGGATGACCGTGGTAGCTGAAAAGATCGGGGACCATTGAGACCACGGGATGGAGATGGTTGCCTCAAAGAGCCAAAGAAAAGGGAGTCCCTCTTATTCAGTACAGGACTCAAACAAGGAAATTGGGAGAAGTTCTGAAGGCCACAAAGGGGTGGAGCGAGTTGCACGGGTGGGAGAAGCACAGAGATGAGATTGGAGGTCTTCAAACCTGGAGGCTCCCAGGAGGCGGAAGGTCCACCGTTGATCCTGCAGCTTCTGGGCTACCTGAGAAGAAACGTCAGATCAGGATGAAGGGTCATGGATGTCCTCTTAAGTGAGCCTCTTGCTAAGAATCGTTGGACTTCTACCCACAAATCAGGAAGGAGATAAATGAGAGGTGCTCATTGTTGGAGAATATGGTAGAATACCGTAAAGGTGTTATCTTGGGCTCTTCTCCCACCACCACCCTTGGCATAAAATCTCAAGAGGACTGACTACGCCATGTTGAAAACACAACTGCTCCTTCTTTACCTGCCCTGATCCAAGCGGCCGTGTCTGCACACCATGGCGCCAAAATGCATGCACGCAGTGCTGCACAAGTGCTGGAAACAGAAGAAGCAGAGAAGTTCAGGTCCTGCCTCCATGACTTGCTCTCCATTTCATAAAAGCTGCTCAGGCATTGGACATGCCTCCCCGCGAAGCGGAATGGGAAGTGAGTCCTTCAAAATGATCTAGCATCCCTCAAAGGGTGACACAACCTTCACCCAAAGGAAGAACTGTCTTTGAGAAGCGCGGGAGGAGGAATCAAGCATAGAGATAGCCTGGAGGCATTGTGCAACCACAAAATTGCTAACTGACCCTCCCTAAATTCCTTGGAGCCTTATCTATTTGTTCCCTAGAGGAAGGAGACTGGCGGTGTGGGAGATTCCTGTACTATAGGCAGAACATAATAGAGTAGTTAAGTTGTACTCTGCATCTGTGGGAGATTCCTGTACTATAGGCAGAACATAATAGAGTAGTTAAGTTGTACTCTGCATCTCTGGGTCTGGTTGTTGGTACTGACGCGTCTCTCAATACTCCTGGCTAGAGAAGCCAGCAAACTCACCACACTCACACCATCACAACAACCAGAGAATCCCAGGCAGCATTTGATAAGAGAAGAAGGTTAGGTTGGATCTCTTTCTCCATCAAGGTCAGAGCTCCTCTGGAGATGTCCTTCCTCTAAGACCCGAAAGGAGCATCAGATGATGGAGAGGAGGCGACTGGAAGAGGAGGAAGTACTGAACAGGGTGGAGAAAAGGAACTCACCGACCGACTCCACCGCTACGTCGAAGGTGAGTTTCGGTGGCGAGCCAAGCAGTGCCCCTCGGGGGCTGACAAACTGGATGCATCCTGGGAAACAAACCAAGAACGCATTGGCCCCAGCAGGAACGGCCCCTCCTTACAGCATCCCTCAAGTCCTTACAATCCTGACCCACCAAAGGCCACCTAGCTTCTCCTTACCATCCATCAGAACCATCACCGTCCTGTTGTCCAACTGAGTCACCTGGACGAAGCCACAGCAGGAAGGCTCTGTGGACAGACAGATGCATTGTTCAGAACTACGGCTAGGCATTCATTTAGAGCCTGTGTTTGATTCTTACAAGAGTTCCTTGCAGAAGACCAAGGATCGGCAACCTTAAACACTCAAAGAGCCAATTGGACCTGTTTCCCATGGAAAAGAAAACACTGGGAGCCACAGAAACCCTCCCCGTGCCGGACTATTTCCTGAGCAGCCCACAAAACTAGCATTTATATTTGAATTAAAGGTTCTGTTTTCTCCTGAAACTTTTCTTTTTTTGGATTTATCCATGGTTGGCCTACTGAGGGTCGAAAAGCTCAATAAATTGGCGCACATTGGTGGTCGTGACACATATTTTGAGCGGCAGGGAGCCGCACGAGAGGGAAGAAGGGGCCACATGCGGCTCCAGAGTGTCACATTTGCAATGTCACGACGGTGTCATGTGACGTATCGGGACTTTTTCACCCTTCGCTAAATTGGGTGGGGGAGGGGCCAGCACGTGAGGCATCCGGCCCCTGGGCTGCGAGTTTGACACTCCTGGTCTAGACAAAGAAGGAATGATCTGTATGACTTTTCTTCTTGTTCTTGTGCCATAGCCACCACCGGATGTTGGCAATCATGTTGGCAATCCTATTTTTATCAACAGCCGCGCGCAAAAGTGCTGCGGACTTTTGTCCCTTCGATTTTGAAGCCATGATGTTCTTCTTCTGTCCGGACCTTGTTTGCCTTCAATCTTTCCTTGAAGGAGGATTAAGTGAGGGATGTCCTATTTTTCTGGGTGTCGCATCACCTGTCCGAAATATTCTAATTTTTGCTTTTTTAAAAATGGTTTTTGATGATTTCCCTCGGCTTTCCCAGGCAGCTTATTCCCCTCCTCATTTCTGATTTTGTCAGCCCAGCTCCTATGTAGCAGCCGCCTGTAAATCCACATTTCAAAAGCTCCTGGTCTTTCCAAGTAGCTTTCTGCGAAGAGACCAACTCTCCCCTCCATAGATCAGGATAGAAAAGATGTCACATCTGAACAGGCCTGGTTTTTCAATCTCAGGCTTATGTCGTGAATGCAGAAGACCTTCCTACTGAGTGAGGTTCTACCTTATTATTGTCCTTCATAAAGAATGAGCAACAGCAGATATGCAGAGGCAGTGGTCAAATGTCAAATGAGCCACCGGGTGACTTGGAACCCATCCTGGGATTCAGGGGAGAAACCAGGATATGCTTCCAGGAGACTCACCGCTTTTGTCGCTGATAAACCAGGAGGTTAAGGAATTGAGGTTAATGACTTGAAACTGCACGGCTTGTCCTGGGGGCCCCTTGCTCACCCCAATGCAGACCACCGGATATTCCTCTTCGGGGTTTATCAGCATCTCGAAGATGGGCAGCAAGGAAGGCAGGGGGAAATCAAAGTACTATCCAAAGAGAAGAGGAAGAGAAGGATTTCCTGAATGGGGTTGATGCCCACAAAAGTGCCATCTCTACCAATCGGTGGGTTCCTGCCAGTTCTAATCTCATCTACAGAAGAGGTTCCACAAATCTACAGTGCCATTTAGAGCCGGTTCCAGCTCCCTCCCCCCNGGCATGATACAAGATATGATAGATAGCCCTGTTAGTGCCTGATCTGGAGGATGAGGCCTGTAGCCAATGGCTGGTAGGCTGTGCAGGGATGAGAGGAGGCCTAGGCCCAAAAGGCAGGCCCGGATTGAGTGAGGCCTCCCCAAGGTCGGGGCGGTGGCCTTTGAATAGACCAGAGCCCCAGTGCCGCTTGTGAATAGCAAAAAAGAAATGGAGGGGGGGCAGGAGCCAGTGGGCACCCCCCTGGCTGGCCCTCTGCCTCCCAGCGGTCCCTGATGTAGCGTGGCTGCACGGCCTGCAGCTAGGCCTGAACGGCGCAAAAACACGCCTAAAATGGCTGCCGCGCAATGAGGAGAACTAGGAGGCCATGCGGCGATCGCCCTAGTCGTCAGACGATCATGCATGCCTCCACGGCAGGTCTAACGTTCGAGGGACAGAAGAAAATGAAAAAACTCGCAAGAAAACATTAACAGGGATCACGAGGGGATCGCTGGCTTGCTAAAGCCTCTCTGCCGCCGCAGCGCGCCGTTTTAAAACGCACGGCAAGCCTCCAAAACTGGCCTGAGGAGATCGGGATAGGAGGCCCTTCCCCCAGCAGCACGCTTACCTCCTTGCCTCCTGGAGGCTTGTAGTCAACAGAAATGTTAGTCAGTTGAGAAGAGGCAAAAATTGCCTGAAGGGGAAAAGTTCTCAGAAAGGAAAAGTCAGGAAGAGATAAGAGAGTCCAAGCCAAAGAGTTATTTCAGCTGGAGCTCCCAAACAAGCTTCCAAACAGGCCAAACTGAGGAAAATTTCTGGGGATTAGGCACACCTGGAGGCGTGGCCAAGGAAAAGTCTTCCTCAGTTTCCAGGGCAACCATACTGAAATAACCCACTGCTTGGACTCTCCAAGCGGTGCACCGGAAAACGTAGCCACGCAAGGAGGCGTGTCCAGGGAAAAGACTTCTCAGTCCAGGGCAAGCAGACTGAAATAACCCATTGCTTGGACTCTCCAAGCGATGCACAGGAGAATGCCATAGCACAAGTCCTCAATTCTCAATAACTTCCAGTGAGGTTTCTGTACAGAATAGTTTTACTTTCAGAATTTCATACAAAATTATACCCCTTACACAACTGTATTAGGAACTGGCTGATCCTACTGATTCCAGCTACTGAAATACTGTTTCAGTATTTCTACTATTTACTGATTAAGTATAAATAATATAAATAATATATACTATTAGAAGATGAATTAGTGTATTATACTACTAAAAAAACATTTAGATTTTTTAGGATATCTAGAGGATCCCTGAAGATATGAAGATTGTAACTGTAGAAATAAATCATTTATTAATAATCCAGTGAGCTCCACAATTTGCAATTACTACATAGTGTACACATATTTCTACCTATGCAATAAGGAACATACTAAAAGAATGTTCACAAACTCAGTACAAGTCCTACAAGTTTAAGATCCTTATCACATAATCGGGTTACTCAATAATGTGTTTTGTTAACTCACATCTTTTGCCCAAGGTTATAATATTTTCATGTATTCCAGAGTATTTTCTTCTAGCATAAGGTGAATAATCACCTGTTCCTACTTCCCATTAAGTCTGTACTGGTTAGGTTTGTATTTTGTGCTAAGTCCTGGTATATTTTAACCATGATTAATTGAACAAGGCACACTGACTAGCTTAATGCGTTATTCAACATACTTCAGTGGTGGGATTCAAAATTTTTTACTTCTAGTTCTGTGGGTGTGGTGTGGCTTCGTGGGCATGGCAGGGGAAGGATACTATAAAATCTCCATTCCCACCCTAATCCAGGGGAAGGTTACGGCAAAATCCCCATTTCCTCCCAATCAGCTGGGACTTAGGAGGCAGAGAATAGATGGGGGCGTGGCAGGCCGAA